TGCTTTACATAGTTTGTGAAACAATTTCAATCGTGTTTATTACTCAAAATGTCAATGGATTACGATCTTTCACTGGTGAGACACTTGATAATCTCCAGAGGAAAATACATCAAAAGCATATATATAATTATAGAAGTTCTTATAATCCATGTAGCCCTGATGGTACATTATTTATCACGTTTTACAGAACTAGAAAACATTCAAATGAACATAAAGAGATTCAGACTGGATGATAAACTTCTGATGGTTCAGGTCCTTCATTTAATTTTTTCTGATAAGAAAATCCAAAATTATTAATGTTGAATTTCTCATCATACATTCATCTAAAACCACAGTGGAAAAAAATAAACTTTGTAAAGACAGTAAATTGGTTGTTTTAGGTGTTTCACAAGTAGCTTGCTATCTAATCCAGGAACTGCTGGAGATTTCTGCAGAGTTCAGAGAATGAGGTGGCTGGGCCGAAGTTTTTGTTGTCGTAATTGTTGAGGTCATCCCCGTTCCCTTTGAGAGCCGCCTCGGACATCATCTCCACTTTCATGTTGAGGTCCTGATTCTTTCTTTGGAGGTCCACAATCACGGAATTCAGGAAATCAATCTGTGTTCAAGGAGAGCGTGAGACGGTGAGCCATCTGCGGGAGCCATGGGAGCCCGCCACAGAGGAGGCTGGGCCCCGCTTCCAGTCCCTGCCCCAGGGTTGGAGGCAGCCAGAGCTCCCCTTTCCCTTCCTGAGCGCAAGCTCCCGGGTGCCCAGGGAAGACCCCAGGAAGAGATGCTGGTACCCCTCGGTTCTTCTCAGAGCAGGGAGTCAAGAGGGGTCTTCCCTCTCCTACAAAGACAAACTCACTTCTTTCAAATGAATGGGGCGGGGGGAAATCCCACTTTACAAAAGCAAGCATGACTGTAGGCACAAACATTCATGTTTCACTTGAAAACTGGCAGGCGCGTTGGGTCTGAGTGATAGCACAGCGGGAAAGGTGCTTGCCTCGCACGCAGCCAACCCAGGTTTGATTCCTGGCATCCTATAGGGGCCGCCGGAGAGCAGCCAGGAGTGATTAATGAGTTCAGAGCCAGGAGGAAGCCTGGAGTATCGCCAGGTGTGGCCCCCAAAGAAAGTGTAAATAAAACCAGAAAAACAGACTGATTCTTTTTCTCCCTCAGGGCAAGTTCTGATGGCCAGTCTCTGAGAGTGCCCAGGCCATCCCACACTAGAGCCAAGAAACGCAGATCTCTCTTCCTCCAGCTGAAAACAAAACAAAACAAAACAAAACAAAACAAAACATGGAAATGTTCAGTTCCCAACAAACCCATACAGGGTCCACCTGCACAGCCCACATGCAAAGTTCACTTCAGCCCACAAGTGCCCTCCAGGACCACCGGCTGTTAAGTACAGAAGTGCAGGAAGTGAGGGTGTGCGGGAACTCCTCAGGGCACTGGGACCCAGATGGTCCCCTTCCTTGGAGAGGATTCAAACGATAAAGCGCTGCAGACCCGGGTGGGATGGAAGGGGGGTTGGGGAAGGAGAGACATCAAGGAGGCCCCAAGGCTGACTCCTGCTGCAGGCCAGACCCGAGCCTGGTGATGGTAGGTGCAGGCACCGGACTGCAGCCAAGTGTGCAAACCCCGGAGGACCCCACCCAGCTGTCTCCCTTGACAGGAGCAAGAAGCAGGAAGGCAGCCCAGAGGACCAGACTCCCCCAGCTCTGGGACTAGAGCATGCGCAAAGAGGCTGGAAAAGCCACATGCTGGTGGGCGTTTCCATTTGCGACTGAACCTTCCTGGCAGGGAAGAAGCCCTCCAAAGTGGTGTTCGACTCTGGCAAAGTGAAGATTTGCCAATGTGATAGGAGCCCGAAGCCCAGGTTCTGGGAGAGCAGCAAGAGGAAGGGCATTGGAGGGCTCTGGCAAGGACATGACCCCTTGACTGAAGGGATGTGTCCTTGTCCAAGGGGCCTCTCACTCCTTAAGCATCATCTCTTGTGCTGGGAGCGTGTGGGGGTGGGGTTCCGGCGGCATGTGCGCGGCCCCTGGTTCTCACGGGCGCCAGGGGAGCACAGCCCCTTCTTCCTCAGCTTCCCTCTTTTTGGCTTCTGTTATTTTAATGAATCAATTAATTTGGGGAGGGGGTTTTTGGGTCACAATCCGGCGTTGCTCAGGAGTGACTCCAGGCTCTGCACCCAGGAAGTACTCCTGGCGGTGCTTCGGGGACCATATGGGATGCCGGGGATGGAACCTGGGTTGGCCATGTGCAAGGCCAACACCCTACCTGCTATGCTATTGCTCCGGCATCATTCTCGGATATTTTAAATGGTAGATATTCCCCGACTCTTTTGAAGCATACACGCATATATACATATATACATGTCTGTGTATGTATACATGCTTATCTAGAACCTTTGTGGGTAGTCAGTTTGGTTTGTTTGGGGCCACACCCGGTGGGGTAGGGAATAAACCCTAGCTCTGTGCTCAGGGATCACTCCTGGCTAGGGTGGAACAGCTCAGGCTGTCAGCCGTCACTTGAGCCCGGGAAAGTGGGGCTGTGAGTTCAGAGGGCACTGGCTCACCTACAACTGCACTCAGGAATTACTCCTGGCGGTGCTCAGGGGACCATATGGGATGCCGGGGATTGAACCTGGGAATTCGGTGTGTAAGTCAAACGCCCTCCCCGCTGTGCTATCACTATGGCCCAGGATATGGTTTCTCTCAAGGCTGAGGCCGGGCCTACACAGCCCTGGTCACTACCATCACCCACCTTACTCTGCATCATCGCATTGGTGTTCCTGGTGTCCTCCAGGGAGACCAGGGCCTGCAGGGACGCCTCCCGCTCGGCCAGCAGCTCAGTCTGCTGCGCCTCCAGCAGCGCCTGGTCTTTCAGCAGCCAGTGCAGCTGCCGCTGGAGCTTCGTGGCCTTCTGGCCCAGCAGCTCCTTCTCAGAGCCAAGGCTCTTCAGCTGCTCATGCAGGGCCGACTCCACACGGGCGGCCTCCTCCTTCTCAGCCGTGAGCTCCTCGATCTCTTGCACCAGCGACTTCTGATCCCGAGCCAGCTCCTCGGAGGAGCACTGCAGCTTCTGGATGATGTTGTCCTTGTCCTTGGCCAGGGATAGGTTGTCCAGAACCAGCTTCTTGACATGCTCCTCCAGCTGGCCCCTCTCCTCCAGGCCCTTGTTACACTCGGCCACCAGGCTGCTCTTGCTCATCTGCAGCTCCTCCACCAGGGCCTGCAGCCCCAGCTTGGCGACCTGCAGTGCGTCCTTCTCCGCGCCCACCCTCTGGAGCTCCTCCTGCACCGCCCTGCCCTCTTCCAGCACTTTCTCTTTCTCCGCCTCGAGGGCTTCTCGGTCCAGCCGCTCCTGCTGGCAGAGCTTCTCCGCGGCCCACCTGGCCTCGATGACCTTCTCCTTATCCATGCGAATCGCTTGGTTCAACAGCCAGAGCTTCCTCTGCTCTTCCCGCAGCGAAGAGTTTTTGGCCTCCGCTTCTCTGAGTTTCAATTGAAACCACCCTCTCTCGGACTTCAGACAGAGCTTCTCCTTCGCCAGCAATTCATTCTCTGACCTCAGGGCCCTGCGATCCTCTGACATCAGCTCCATCTCTTCTTTGGCCGAGCTTAATAAGCAAGTTAAGGACTGCAGAAACAAAAAGCGGGGAAGAATGGAAACAAGAATGAGATCAAGCAGGCACAAGCAAGCCAAGCACTTCATGTGGCCTAAATACCAGAAATGAAAATGGCAGAGTAGTCTTACCTGCACACGCGTGTATACGCGCACGCGCACACACTCACACACACACACACACACACAGACTCAGGATGGAGAGGCTCAGACACAGTTAGCTTCTTAGCGTCAACATAACTACCTGCCTATTTTGTGGATGGGGGCCCCACACCTGCTGGTGTTCGGGTCTCGCTCAGGGTTCTGTGTTCAGGGATCACTGCTGGCAGGGCCGGAGGACGGGATGCTGGGGATCAACCCCAAGTTGGCCGAGTACAAGGCAGCACCCTACCCATTCTACTATCAGCCGAGTTGATTTTTGAAATGCCATCTGAAATGATTCCTGACAGCTCCCCGGAAGGTGTAAGTACAGTTGGATCTTGACATTGGGGCATAAGATTTTTTCCCCCCACTTCAATTCTTCTGTTATAAAATCCATCACTCTGTCCTATAAGGGATGCATTCAAAAACTAGTTTTCAATACAATTCAAAGAACTACAAAAAGTATTTTGTTTTGGAACTTTGTGCAGGAGGGGAAGGGAAAAGCAACCACTGCTTGTCAAACGATTTTCACAGGGACAAACAGAGGCAGGAAATGGACTTAGTCCCAAAAGTTATACACTTTATAGAAAATCCGGACGAATCCACCAAGCTTTGGAGACTGAAGCCAACAGTTTTTGCTTGCCAAACACAGTAACAAGTCTCAAAATGGAGACATTAGTGGGCCCGCTCGAGCCAATCGATGAGCAATGGGAGGGCAGTGTTTGCAGTCATTTGGGAGGGGCCCAGGGGCTCCAGGAGGACTGGCCGCACACGGGTCAGGGTCTCCCTCACCTGCTCTCCCTGCCCGTCAGCAACGGGTTGTGCGTTTTCATTTCTGAGTCTCAATGTACACCCCAGTTGAACCGCCATGTACTTTCCAGAACTTTCTGCAGCAAGGGCTATCTTCTCTGTCCAGCTCAGCAGCCATGAGCCGCAGCAGGCTACTGGTGTGTGCTGGGCAGCTGACCGCTGACGGCCATGTTACCGGAATGGGACTGACCTGAGCATGCACACGAGGCTGCTGGCCACAGAACTGGGCCAGCAGGTGGTCCAGAGAGGAGACGTAGCCCTGGCTGCGGTGCGTGGTGGAAAGAGGCCGCACCAACACACACACGGGCCACGGCCGCCATCAGCCGCGGCGCTGCACTGCGGCCACCCACCTTGGCCTTGTCGGCTTGTGTCTTCAGCTCGGCCACCTCCCGCAGCAGTCTCCCGTTCTCCGCCTGCACCGCCTGCAGCTTCTCCTTCGCCTGCAGCAGCAGCTGCTGAAGGGCCTGCGGCGCCTCCTCGTGGTGCCCCTGGATCTCCACGCTGGCCTTGGTGAGCTCGGCCTGTAGAGCCTGGCACTGGCTGCGGCACACGTCCACCTTCTCCTCCTGCGGGGACCCGGGGGCCACCGTCAGCCGCCGGCCCCCTGCCCGCTCCCAGCACACACGCACAAACACGAACTCACACACACACAACGCAAACACACAAACATACACACTCGCACACACACAGCCCCTCTGCTCTGCTCACCAGCATGCACACACAAACACACATGCACACACACACGTGCGCACACACGGCCCCTCAGCTTGGCCGCTTTCGTTCAAGTTCTCCTGAAGACTACGAAGCGCTAGCCCCTTCCCCTGCAGCTCCTCGGCCAGGCTATCGGCCTACCAGAGTCACAAGGATGGAGTGAATGGACCAAGGAGACAAACAGGAATGGGAAGGGGAAAACAAAACAGAAAACACGTATGAGAATCCCATGACCCAACACAACCCCAAAGAACAGAGGCGTGAGGTGAGCGTGATTGCCTGAAGCTCGCGAAGCCAAGGGCTTGGCGCCGGCAGTTCTGGTGATGACTGTCTAGTGGTTATTGGAAACGGCCCAAACAGAGGCGTTTTCTAGACCTAACTTTGGCATGACCAGAAAATAAGAAAGCCTATGAGAAAGACTGACTTTCCAGGGCCGGGGAGACGGCACAAAGGGCTGGAGTACACACCAGGCCCGAGTTGGAACTGCAGCACCACTGGACGAGACTGAGATCGGTCCACAAGCTGAAAAGCCCCACTACTGCTGGGCGGGAGGACCCCAGAGCCCAGAGCATGGCTTGGCGAGGAAGAAGGAAGTAAGCAAGGGAGGAGGGAAGCTAAGGATAGGAAGGAGGGAGGGAGGAAACAGGGAAGAAAGGGAAAGGGAGGGAAGGGAGGGAATAAAAGGTTATCTTTTTTTTTTCTTTTGGCTTTTACGGTCACCCTAAATGCTCAGGAATTTCTCCTTGGCAGTAACCCGGCCAGCTCACCGAGAGTATCTCGCCTGCAGGCAAAGCCTGCCAAGCTCCCCGTGATGTATTCGATATGACAAACACAGTAACAAGTGTCACAATGGAGACGTTACTGGGTCCCCTCGAGCTAATCGATAAACAACGGGAGGGTAGAGACAATGACAGTGACCCTATGGGATGATGGAGATCGAACCCACGTGGGCCGCGTGCAAGGCAAATGCCCTTCCCATTGTACTATCATTCCGGCCCCCAAGATTTACTATCTTGTAGTTTCTTTTCTGTGACTTTAAAAGTCTGAGGGGTTTCAATATGAAATTTAAAATGAAGAACCTCTAATCCACTAGACAGCAGTCACCCGAACTTGACGTTTGTTACATCTTGATGCGAACAAGTGGGTCAGCTATCCCCTGCTGTGTCCTAGGAATTGATTCCATTTGTTTCAGCCGATGTTTCTGGAATGCCAGCCAAGGAGTCCTGAGTCCTGAGAGGAACTCCCGGGGATCTCGGGGCCCTTCTGTTATGTCTGTCAGTCCTGTCTACAAAGCCCACAGCCCTTCCATCTTGGCCAACAGAGAAGTTTCTCCAACAAAGTGCCCAGCGCGAGGGGAGCGGGGGGGGGGGGGGGGGTTGAGGGCACGTCCCTGCCACCACAATCCTATAGGAGGAAAAGGGCATCTCTCGGGGCTCCTTGGTGAGAACTGCAGCTTCCTCGGCTTGGCCCAGATCTCACTGTCTCGTCCTTCCCCAGGGTCAGGGCTACCATGAGAGTCCATGCCTGTGGCCAGCAGGGGGCCATGCTGGAAGGCGGACTTGGTCCAAGCACCCCTTAGAGGCTGAAAGGGATGAAATCTCTGCAGGGCTGCGCGGGGGCTTGTGCTGCAGGGAGGGAGGGGCTGGCAATGAGAAATACCAAGATGGGTCACGTCACCAGCCCTGAGGGAGCTCAGAGGCTCAGAGGCATTGAGCACCAGCTGGGAACTGAGGCGCCTCGGGGAGAGGAGGGCAAAGCCCGTCACACGAGCAGGTGGTCAGCAAGGTCAGGGAAATACCCTCGCGGCCTGACTCGAGCCCAAGTGTCTGGGCGGACTCGGCGAGTATGCAGCGGGCCCAAGGGGTGGGGGGCAGAGGTCTGCTCTGGGGGCTCCTATCTTGTTTTCTCACTGGCCTCGTGAAGAATTCTCTGTTTCAGAAAGACCCCAGATGGGCCCGATTAGCCAGGGCCAAGGCTAGCACGGCATCCGGGTGCTGGGGACCAATGACAGCCCCAGAATCGTGCCGACACCTTCTCAGTCCCATCAGAGGGAACCGCACGGGACGTGACCGGGAGACCTGTCAGCACCAAGCCGGAACACGGCGGCGAGCAGACTGACACACAGCATGCAGGGAGCGAGCGTGGAAGTGGGCGAGGGCGCCCGAGTACCAACCTGCAGCTCTCGGCCCGCTTTGCATTCTCTAACTCCTGAATCTGCTGCTCAGCCACCTGGAGCTGCTGCCTGAGCTTCTCCATTCCCAATTGACCTTAGGAACTGGCCTTCCAGAGCCCATCGAGCTGCAAGAGCTTCTGCTGGGTGGCCTCCAGCTGTGCCGTGGCATTGGCCAGGGCCTGGGCTTGCTGACTACTCACGGCCCGCAACCCGTCCAGGTGCTTTACCTTCGTCTCCGCCTCCTGCAGCTTGTTCAGGGCGTCCTCCATCTCCACCAGGTGCTGGTCCTCGATCTGGTCGAGCTTGGCCCGTGCGGCCTCCAGGCTGTTCTTCTGCTCCTGGGCCGTCCTGAACAGCCGCGACCTGAGCGTCTTCAGCTCAGAGGCATGCGCTGCACGCTCAGCCGCCTGCTGGGCCTTCAGGCTCTCCACCTCCTGCTGGTACTCGAACTGTAGCCTCTCGATCTGCATCTTGAGCTCGGCCAGCTCGGCCGCCTCAGCGCCCACGCCCTGGCTCACGGATGCCTTCGGCTCGCCCATGGCCTGTTGGTGCGGGTTGATGGCCGTCTCCAGCTTGGACTTCCACAGGGCGATCACGTCCGCATTCTCCTTGTTGGCATGGTCCAGCTTGGTCCTCAGGCACTCGTTCTCCTTGGCGAGCTTCTCAGAGGCCGCCTGCAGGGACTTCACATCCATCTGGTGGGAAAACAAAATTTCCATGAACTTAAAACAGGAAGGAAAAGAAGCAGAAATAGAAATTTGTCTTTTTCAAACTGACTCTTTGCTTCGTCTTGTTTTAAGGAAAACCTTCTAAAAAATGGGGTTCTAAAGGATTTGATTTGTGCTGCTCGACTGAAAATCAAAGCTGAGGCAAAGGCATAGACCCGACTGTCAGAACGAGAGAAAAACGCTCATCAAGAACAGCCTCCAGCCCCAAGGAGCAGAGATGTGTCAGCCAGGCCCTGCCAGGTGCATGAACCCAGGTATCCCTGTCTGATTCGGAGTCTCCAGCAGAAGTGGTCCCGGCGGGGTTGGCCAGGCTGCCCCGCATCCTTGCCTGCACCCTGCAAGCCTCCGGGACCTGCCCGGGCTTTACCTCCATGTCGCCTTTGGTGATGGACTCCTCCTCGACTCGGAACTGGAGGTCTTCCACTTTCCTGTGGGGGAGAGGGAGACGTTGTGAGGGGCGTCACTGCTGCGCCCCAAGAGGGCCACCATCTTGTAGATGCGCCTGACCCAGCCCCCGGCTCCACACACAGGAGGGCTGAGAGAGTCGGGGAGGGCCAGAGCGAGAGTCCAGCAGGCAGGGCGTTTGTCTTGCACGTGGCCGACCCGGGTTCAATTCCCAGCATACCACTGTGGACCCCGGAGCAATGCCTGGAGTAATTCCTGAGTGCCGAGGCAGGAGTAACCCCTGAGCATCGCTGGGTTGACCCAAAAAGAAAAAAAAGAAAGTCAGCGAGTCCCCTCAGCTTCGAGCACTGGGTGGGACCCGCAGGCTACAGGAGGAAGTTAGGCCGAGCCAACACCAGGTGCAGTGTCATATCAACCCTTTCTGCCTCGCAGCTAACAGAGGTGGTTAAAAACTGACCCGCGGCGCCTGCCAGTCCCTCCCAGCCAGCGCCTGTCCCCACATCAGGACAACAACTGAGCCCCTGGGGGAGAAGCAGCCAATGACTCGGGGGCGGGGGAGAGGGGGAGGCGGGGGGGAGGGGCTCCCAGTGACTGTCGAGTTGGCATGTGGAGCTGAGGGGCTGAGCCAGGCACTCGCAGTGCCCCTGGGCACCACAATGCCGGGAGCCCACCTGAAAAGGCGGTCTCGGCCAGCACCCCGTGTCCATCTGTCTGCAGCCAGGCCTCAGCCCCGCGTCCGTCTGTCTGCAGCCTGGCCTGAGCCCCGTGTCTGTCTGTCTGCAGCCTAGCCTGAGCCCTGTCTGTCTGCTGTCGTGCCCCATGGGTACTGTGGGTTTCCTCCCGCCTGGGACTTAACCACAGGGACTCCCACAGGGCCCCACTGGGTTAGGACAGTTCCTTGCCACCCAGCACAGGCCTCCTGAATACCAGGCCAGGTGGACACAGCAGGGAGGGCCGGGGGTGGCTTGGCTCCACTGAGTTCCGCCCCCAGTCCTCCCGGTGAGGCCGTGCTCAGGACTGGGCACCCGTTGGTTTCTGGTTCTCACAGCCCTGGAAGGCCAGGAGTGCCCCACCCGAGGGAGCCCCCAGCTCCGGGCACGGCCTCACCTCTTCTCCTCCTCCAGCTGGTTCAGCAGCTCCACCTTCTCCCAGTCGGCCGCTTCCAGCATGGCCCGCAGGTCGTCGTTCTTGGCCTCCAGCTCCAGGACGTGCTGTAGAGGCAACGGCGCGTGAGTGGCCTCGCCCGCCCCCTACAGCCCTCTGTGGGCTGCCATCGCCATCTGTCACCACGGCAAGCTGAATGCATCTCCCACCTAAGCTACAGCGTTTCTGGAAGGCCAGAGGGGAACCACACCACGAAAGCACCGATGCGGACAACTCGGCACTCCCTAAACCCCCACAGGGTGAGCAGAAGGCGCATGCGATCAAACCACGCGCCGGATGCCACCGCAACGACGGCAGACGGGGACCCACGGCCTCTCCTTGCACCGCCTGCACCAATCTCGCGCCCAGCCTCTACCGCAGGCGTCTCTCGGCCCCAGCACTGCCGTCTGCACAGACGTCACCTGGTCGTGCCCGTTCCGGCCAGGGCCAGCTCCTGCTCTATCTCCCCCATGTGGCTCGTGGCCTTGGCCACCTCCGCCCGCTCTAGGTCCCGCTCGGCCAGCAGCTTCTCAATGTGCTGCTGCTTCTCCTTCAGCGCCTCCTGGAGGGCGGTGGTGCCGGAGATCTTGTGCCCGAAGCGGGAGGAGGTTTCCGGCAACTGCAAAGGAAAAAGAGACGTGAAGGGGATGGGGCCGGCCGACACGGGCATGCTCGCGGTGATCCTCGGCAAAGCACATGGAGCAGTGCTGCATCCTTGCATATGGGCCAGCGACTCTCAGCAGAAACGTCTTGAAACCTTCCCGAAGATCCTTGGACGGGACCTGGGTTCCACTGACCTCGGGCCTCGTGGGAATCCAGAGATCTTCTGCAGAGCCGGAGGCAGCCCCCTCCACAGTCCGCTCTGGCCTGAGCTTCCTTAAGGATGAGCCCTCGGCATGAGCTTGAGGCCAGCTCCAGCATCTTCAGCCTTGCAGGTCCGTCAGGGTCTCCCTGGGCAGCCTGTCCCTTCTCTCTTCCTTTTCCTTCCAGCTCACCTCGCTCTCCCGGGCACCCGCCCCATGCCTGAATAGCAGTAACCAGAGACTCTTGTCTCTGGGAATGGCCCCATGCCCCCGGGGGTCACTGGGTGTGAACCTATAAAAGACCCCTGTGCCATCTGCCTTCGAAAATGGGGGATGAGAGGCTAGAATGATAAAGTTGCGGGAAAGGCGCTGGCCTTGCACGCCGCTGACCCGAGCTGGATAACAGGTACCCACCCCATAGGGTCCCGAGCCCACCAGGAGTGACTCCTGAGTGCAGAGTCCAGAGTAAGTCCTGAGTATTGCTGGGGCATGGCCAAAGTCCAGGGAAAAAAAAAGGAAAAGTGGTGGGTGAGAATGTGTGAGGGCTCACGACCAGCGAGCAGGACAGCAAGGGCAGCTCAGGGAAAGACCAAGCACAAAGGGAAGGAGAGAAGAGGCAAAGACAGTGAGGAGGGGAGGGGAGTGGGCTGAAGGGCTGCGGGGACCGGGGGTCCTGTCCGTTCTATCCTGGGCTCGTGGTTGCTCATGGTCGCTCTGCAGACCCAGATCCCTCTCTGCACAACGGCCCCTGCAGGAGGGGACAAGGCGGGACCTGATCTTCATTCTTCGGGCACATGGTGGCGGGGGCTGCGGCGGGGGTGGCCAGGACTTCCGCTCCTTCTGCCCGGCCATCCCTGTTCCATCGCCCTGCTGCGGTCCAGCCACAGGTTCTCTTGCCGCTTTCCCGCATCATCTGAGCTGCTGCCAAACGCCTCCTGACCGACTGGCCCAGCAGGGCCCAGGCTGTCCACTGCTGCTTTGCCTGCTGGGAGCTCTTGAGCCACCTGGTTCTGTCCGGAGAGTGGGATCATCCTTGCCTGTGCATAAGGACCTGGCCGTGATTTCCCGATACACTTAAAGTATATCTGGTCCGATTAAATGCCCTCCCCAGGGCCAAAGAGTCTGTTGGGGGGGGGGAAGGTGCTTGCAGAGGTTCAAGATCCAGCACCATCAGGAGTGACCCCACCCCCCAAGCAGAGAGCCAGGAATAAGCCCTGAGCACCCCTGGGTGTGGCCCCAAAACCAAATAATAACTAAAATTTCTAGGAGCACACAAGCTCTCGGGCCAGTCATGCGCAGTGCTCCCGGGAACTGCGGTCAACTCGGATTTCAAGGGGTGGCTGGGAAGAGCTTGCCAGCCTTGGGGGTCTAACACCAAGACCCGGGCTCTAACCCCCTCCACCGGGAGCAGCCCCCAAGCACCACGCCTGGAGTCCCTGAGCACTGCCAGGTGAACCCCAAAGAGCAAAAATAAAAACAAGGAAAGGCGGGCGGCGGTGTTCCCTGAGCCTCCTGGCTTGAGCGGGTGGGGCAGGCCAGATGCACGCGCTTCCTGGGCCCGAGACAGCTCCCTGAGGAAACCAGCACAGGAGCGATGGTCTTCTTTCAGCCAACTATGGAGACGAGACTGTGAGGTTCAGGCACCGGAGCAGGGAGAAAGCAGCACCCCTAGCATGGGGGGAGGCGCGTGCTGAGGGGCTGGGTAAGGTCGGGGCCAAGAGCTGAACTCAGGATGCTGATGCCAAAGCCTCTGCCCTGCGCGTGGTTTGTGAGGCCCCAGGCTCCATCCCAGCAAGGCCAGGCCTTCTGTGGGAGCCTGGTACCTCAGAAGAGCAACTCAGCCAACAGACGAACAGGGAGGCCTCCACAGGGCACGCACGGACCCGTGTGCATGTATGTATGCATGCATGTATGTTCTGGTGGGCATATCTACACGCACCTGTGTGCATGTGCACGTTGTGTTTATGCATGTATGTGCCTGTGTGTGTATACCCATAAGCCTGTGTATATACGGTATGCACTACGTGTACATGTATGAGTGACTGTGTGTATGAACGCTTGTGTGTGCACTTATGGAATTATGTTGTCGAGGTATACTTCCGTGAAGCCACACAGAATCTTTCTATATTCCTGTCATAGACGCTAACGGTGATGTTCAGTTTAGGAGTGAGCTCCACCCTGCATAAAGATATGCAATGCAGGGGCCAAAGAGCTGGAGAGCGAAGCCCCAGCGCTGCCCAGGCTCAATCCCGGAGGCCCGCCAGGAATAATCCCGAGCACAGAGGTGGGAGAAAGCCCTGAGCTCTGCCAAGTGTGACCCCAAAACAGAACAAAACAAGATAGCGGGGGGAGGCTGGAGATACGTCTCAGGCGTAGGGCTCTTGCTTGGAGGTGGGAGGCCCCGGCACAACCCCAGCACTGCAAATGGCCCCTTGAAGCACTGTATGGTATGGCCCACAGTCAAGCAGAAAAACAAAACCAAATTCCACAAATGGGCTGGCTCGCGAGGGAAGGAGAGGGGCTTCTGAGTCTGCTCCCCTCCTAAATGGTGAGGCGAAGGGAAGGAGGAGTCGGACGTGAGGATGCAGGTGGGGCAGGGAAACCTAGTGGTGGTCGAGCAAGACAGGACTGGCCCCAGGCCTGTGCCCACGGCGTGTGGCCTCCTGGCTCCCGTTCCCGTGTCATCTGTTTTGTATCTTCCGTTGCACACACACTCACTCCCTCCTCTTCCGCATCGAGGGTCAATGCACGGAGCAGAGGCAGCGGCAGGAAGCGCAGCCCCCAGCAAAGTCAGCCCCCCGGGACACACTCTCCATCGTGGGCCCGTTTCCCTGTGGACAATATCTCAGGGCACCCTTGCATATTCAGACACACTTTAGTGTTTATGACTCAGATAGACGTGAGGGGAGAAGCCACGAGGCCCAAGCTTTGAATTGCGGCACCGCAATGGACAGAAGTCGAGGCCACTCTGCATGTGGACAGCGGTGCAGAGGGACAGGAGGGAGCAGGGAGAGACGGAGAGAGCAAAGAAGCAAGATGAAGGGCCAAGCGTTCCCCAGAGTCTCTGGGCCCTGCTCTGACCCTCAGGCACCCCTTCAGCTACCCCACTTCATCCCTAAGGTGGCCTGAGGCCAGAGAGGAGCCCTGAGCACCCCAGGAAAGGCCCATCCCTGCTCCTGTCACCGGTGGTGGCTGGGAAGCCACTCGCCTGCCACCCGGAGCTGCTCAGCCCACGTGCTCCTGCTCCGCCTCTTGCCCCTGGGGCTGTGGGAGTCTGTGGGGGCTCGAGCACCCCGCAGTGGTGGGGGGCTTCTTACTAGTCCCGTGCGACCGGGCCTGCTGCTCACGGATGAGGCCCCGGAGCTCACGGAGCTGAGCGAGGAGGCCGAAGGGCTGCGCTTCAGGCTGGCGGGGGTGGTGGCCATCACACGCCTCACAGCGGCCACCTTGCCCTTGGCCGGCATCGTGGACGGGAAGCCGATCTTGGTGACTTTGTGAATGGGAGCAAACAAGCCATACTTGGGCTGACACTGGAAGTACCTGCGGACAACGAGGAGGGGGGGACAAAAACACCTTCGGCAAGAGACCAAGAGACACAAGCGCCGACCCAGAAGTTCACTGAGTCCCACAGTCTCACACCCCCACAAACGAACACGCTCCCACAGCCCCACATGCCCACCCACTCACACCCCGACAAACACACTCACACACGCACCCCAAACAACACTCCCACACTCTCACACTCCCACCCCAACAAACACACTCACACTCACACCGCAACAAACACACTCACACTCACTCCCCAACAAACATCATACCCTCTACCAGCCCACACTCACACACACTCACAACCCAACAAACACACACACACCCCAACCAACACTCCCACACATAAACACCACAACCAACACACACTTACACTCACACCCCAACCAACACTCCCACACTTCCACACTCTCACAGCCCAACAAACACACTCACACCCCAACCAACACTCCCATACTCTCACACTCCCACCCCGTCAAACACACACACTCACACCCCAACAGACACTCCCACATGTCCACAGCCCCACACTCACACACACTCACTCCCCAGAAACACACATACTCACACCCAAACCAACACACACTCACACTCACACCCCACCGACACTCCCACACCCACACACACTCACACCCCAACCAACACTCCCACAGACCCACAGCCCCACAGTAACACACATGCACACCCCAACCAACACTTGCACGCTCTCAAACCAACACTGATACGCTCTCACTCCCCCACAAACACGCTAACACCTCCACAATCACTCTCATGCCCACGCCCCCACCAACACTCTCACAGCCCCACACTCACACGCTCACATACACACTCCCTCATACATTGACACCCACACTCTCTCGCACGCCGCCCACCCCCACCACGCAAACCAAGGGCGATTCCAAGCAGCCTCCCTGGCATCTGAAGGGCGACAGCAGGCCCGGGGGGTTCCTGCGGCCCGAGCACAGCTGCATGTAGGGGGCCCCAGGCTGTACCCACATCCCTGCAGGGTCCCCGAGTGCCAACGGAAGTGGCCCCGCCTAAGAACCAAGAGAAGTGGCCTGCAGTCCCCTCAGCGCCTCCCGGGCACCCTGCATGGCCCCAGGCTGTCTGGGGGGGCAGGGGGACCCACCTCGTTCCGGCCACGGCACCATCGTTCTTGCCCAGTGGCTTGTCCAGCTCTACGCCGCACCAATCCCCCTTGGCGAAGTCCGTCTCCCCGAGGACGCGCACCACACGGGCCTCCATGCCTCCCACCTGCTGGAGGGATGGAGGGACGTGGGTCAGGCACCCTGGACTGCGCACAGCGCCCCCACCCCCGCAAACGAACATTCTGGCTTCAGAGTCGGGATTTCCTGAAGAAACCCCAAAGGTCAAGGTGCCATTTCCCCCCGCAACCCCTACAGGGTGAGCAGACACTGCTGCTCAGTGTCCAGGCAAGGCAGCGGCATTCACACCCACTCGCTGTCACTGGTGGCCTGGCTGACCAAACCCCCGGGAATCTCTGACCCAGGCCAGCCACCTGGTGTGGCGAGGGGGTCGCTGCCCCGTGGGTGTGGGAGCGGAGCAGTGGCAACCCCACCGCTGGAGAACAATTAAGCCAGAAACCAGCTAAAGGAAAGTGACTATGCTCGTATCTTAGCAGAGTTCGATTTTCCAGTTCTCCTTCACTATGCCTTGGCTTGACGCTTGGCTCCCGGGACACAGAGCAAAACAGAATCAAAGCGCTGGACAATGACGGGAATGCTGACAAACAGGGCTGGAGAACCAGGGGAAGGGCACTGGCTTTGTGTGCGACCACCCTGTGACGCCCCAAACAAAAACATCGAAAACCAGAGAAATAGAACCGATATCCAACTTTGTTCATTGGTTTGTTTTTGAGTCACAGTCAGAGTGCTCAGGGCTTACTCTTGGCTTGGTGCTCAGGGATCCCTCCGGGATGTGCTTGGGGGACTGTACATGGGACCAAGACTTAAACCCCGGGTCAGAGGCGTGCCAAGCATGACCCCTCCCCACGGCATGACCCCTCCACCCTGTTTTGGCTAAACTGGTAAAACTGGCAGCATCCCCGCACGCATCCATCACGCTGGAAACTGCAGGACCAGGCGTCCCGGCTGCTCCTGCTTCCACCCAAACCGCGAGTCTGGAGGAAATGATGGACCAGACAGGCGAATGGACAGCCACCCGCGACCGCTGCCCTCGGCACTCACCAGCACCCGGTCCCCAAGCTTCAGCTCCCGCTCCCCTTTCTTGAGGGAGCCGGCCTCAGAGAGGTTGGAGATGGACTCGCTGGCCGTCCTGGTCAGGCTGCTGATGTGAGGGGTGGCCGGTGACTCCTTCGCGGGGGACTGGGGCACCTTCGCGGTGCTGGCAGGGGCCGGGGAGGCCGACAGGGGCGGTGTGGCCCAGGCGGCAGGCGCTGGCTGCCGGCAGTTGGTCTCATCGTCGGCCTGCAAGCTCCTACTCAGCTTGGACGGCCGGGTGAAGATGCCCTTCAACGGCTCGCACTGGAAGTAGCGCACACCCGCCACCGAGCCGTCGTTCTTGCCGATGGGCTCGTCCAAGACGATCCCGGCCCACTGACCAGGGGCAAACTGGGTCTCCCCGAGGAACTGGATGAATCCAGGCTTGTTCCCGTTCACCCAGACTCGTTCCCCGACCTGGAAGTCGCCCACAAACTCCTCCTGCATCTCCGATGAGGGGGCGATGGGGGTTTTTTCCCCAGGCATGGTCTTCTCAACGGGAGCAGCAGCTGGAACAGCAGAAAGGGTCAGAAGGGACAGGAAGGGCCTGTGCAGGTCCAGTTAAAGTGTGGTTGGGGGGGAGGGAAACCCAGCAGTGCTCGGGATTACTCCCAGCCAATGACGGGGGCTGCTTGTGGCGAAGCCTGGCTGGGCCTGCCGTGAAGCGGACGTGCTCACCTACCGCAGCATCCCAGGCCGCAGTCATACTTTGGGCAGCTCAGGGGAAATCTTTGGATACACCCCGTGATACTACGGACCAAGCCAGGTGAAAGCTCGAACCCAGTGTCTTATTTCTGCTGTGTCCACTGGCCCATCTTCTTTTTCTTTTGGGCGGGGAGCAACCCAGCCAATGCTCAGGGCCTATTTCTGGTTCTCCGTTCAGGGTTACTCATGGTGAGGTTGAGGTTGGAGAGTCACATGGGGTGCCAGTTGCCCTCCCCACTGTACTGTGGCTTTGGCCGGCAATGAGGCCCTCTAGTCCAGGTGAGTCCACCTCCCTAAGCCTGTCCCCAAGCCTGGGCAAGGGAGCTAGCAGTTAGAAGGGAGCGTGTTGGTCGCCTCAGCTGTCACCGGTTGCCGTGACAGTAAACTCACAGAACGTGACACTCGTGTGTGAGAGCTGTCCCCAGAGCCATGGACTTGTCTACAGCTCAGGGAGCCCTTCCCGGGCGAGGACTCGGGATGGGGTTCCCGGGTGGGAATGAGTCTCCCTTGGCCTGGACTGAGCGCACTTACTGGCCGAGGGTGCCTTCAGGGCCCAGCTCCCATGCTTGAGGATCTTGGTGGGGGACTTCAGCCCGCTGGGCCTCAGCAGACTCATGGTCAGGCGGTCAGACGCTGCCGCGGCCACTACCAGGCCCCAACCATCGAGCCCACTGTGGGGCCTTCTGAGGCACACTCGTTCTCAGGACTAAATCTCTGAAGAGCAGAGGAGAGAGTCTGTCTCAGGGGAGCGACCACAGCAGCTTCCGGAGCCCAGAGAGCTGCCAGTCTGGCACTCGACACCCCGAGTGCGACCACCAGTCTCCCGCACAGCCCCCTGAGCGCACCAAGTGTCATTCCTGCACAAAAACTCAACCCAAAACAGACAAACAAACAACTGCCGATTCAGGGCCAGAGAGCAGAGGGGACAGGTACTTGCCCTGCGGGCAGCTGACCATCACGCCCTCCCTGCCATCACTCCCACCACCAAACACATTCAGGAGCCAGAAATCATCCCTAAGCACCGCGAGTGTCACTGACCACCTCCCCGTCCAGACACTGACGAGCCGGCAGGCGACTCAGCAGTGATGGCTGGTCTTCTGTGTGCGTGTGTGCGTATGTGTATGTGCGAGAGGCCCGGGGTTACACGTAGAAGCTAAGGCAAGCAACAGGCACACTTTTTTCTATGGGCTGAGAACTGCCAGGGAAAAGGGCCCAGCAAGACTGCGCCATGGGGGGCTGGAGAGCGATAGCACAGTGGGAAGGGCATTTGCCTTGCACGCGGCCGACTCAGGTTCGATTCCCAGCATCCCATATGGTCCTCTAAGCACTGCCAGGAGTGATTCCCGAGTGCAGACCCAGGAGTAAACCCTGTGCATCACCAGGTGTGACCCAAAAAGAAAAAAAAATTGCGCCAAAGGGGAGCGAAGGAGTTTTCGGCGTTTCCTACGTTCCTTGTGACGCTGCCCAAGTTGGATAACCACAAGGCAGTATTAACTCCATTTCTTAACCCACAGGACTGAGGCAGACAGGTAGATGGGGGAAGCGTCCCCATGGCAATGGAACTCCGAGGAAGTCAACAAAAGCTTCATGGCCACCAAAAGACCACCTGAGGGCACGGAACCCAAAGTCTGGTCAAAATTAACCCATATTAGGAGGCCCAGAGCAGGCTGGACCCCCCGAGGGAATAGGAACAAAGCCCAGGAAAGGAATTTCTAAGAGGACCATGGACCACTCAACTCTACCCCCTTGGCAACCACCCTAGCAACGGACTCTAGGTAGCTAGAAACTCCTACCAGGGGCAGCCTGGGGAAATCCCTAGATTAGCCACCTTGAACCAAGGGAGGGCGCTCATGTGTGCCCGAGCCCAGGTACTGCTCTTGCCTATGAGGTCGGTCATGTGACGGGCTTCTCCCCTCCTGAGGTGTGGACTTTCAGACCTAATGCAACCTAGCAACATAACATGTTCAGTGGCTTTCTGCACCTCTGGAGAAGCCGCACTCTCTCTCGAGCGTGTTACTCCCTCCCTCCTTCCCCTTCCTAAAGGCCTCCAAATAAAATGTTTCTGCTTCATGCTCATCTCCTGAAATGCTTTTCTGCGAGAAGGACAAAGGCCCGGGGGCCTGAGGAGGTCGAGGATCGACTCCCTTTCCCTGTAAAGGGCAACCCCTCACTCCGGCCCAAGACCCCGGGAAGGCCTAGTGGGCGTCATGGGGCTGGCGGGGCTCATCGCACTCAGCAGTGCCAGCGCTCCAGCCAGTCCCGGGGGAGTGATATCTTCTCCTCTGCTTCTCATCAGCCCCCCATGAGGGCCCACTGACTTCAGAGTCATTCCATATTTCAATAGAGAAGTCCGCAAGGGGCAGAGAGGCAGGACAGTGGGGAGGGCACTTGCCTTATATCCAGTTGTCCTGGGCTCGATCTCCGTCAGCACAGGGACGTTAGCCGGCCAGGGTCACCCCTGGGCACAGCCAGGTATGGCCACCCCACCCCACCCCGCCCCCACACCACCCAAATATATATATATATATATATATAACTAGTAAAAAAACTTAAACTAACTAAAGATTCAAAACTGTCATACACTAAAGAACTGTTAGAGAAAAAAGCCGCCCGCACGCGGGCAGAAAGCCCAGAGACTCAGATTCACCTGTGTCACACTGCACTCGCAGCTTCAGTACTGAGCTCTGCCAAACAGGCTCGTGCCAGTCTCGTGGAGAGACTGAAAATGGCAGTTGGAGTCTAGAATGTTCTGAGGTAGAACTAGAATTCAGCAAGGAGGAGGGCATCATGGGCCATTCTTAAAGGGGCAGGCGCCACCCTTCGTGATGTCAGTGTCTGGCTGAGGCTCCGGAGGGCTGCCCTTGCAGACGTCAGCACTACATGGCCAACGAGCCTCTGGTCCCTGCGGGGCCCAGTTCTGGATCCCCGGGCCCTGTGAAAGTGGTTTCAGAAAACTTTTGACAAATGTTTGTCAGTTACAGATCTCCAACTGAGGTCATTCAGCATCCCCCGAGTGGGACCTGGACCCAGTGACCCAGCCCAGGGACCCCCTCAGGAGCCGGGCCAGGAAATCTGTGAGCCGGGGGGGGGGCGCGGGGGGCAGAGCGACAGGGCAGAGGCCCTGAGCTCGACCCTGACAGCCCTGCTCTCTGTGACCCCAGTGCTGTGAGCAACACCGGCCGCACCGTGGCCAGAGAGTAGCCCATCCCACTAAGGCCGGAGAGCTGTACAGAGGAGTATGGCCTGGCCTGCTCCGGATGGGAGCACAAGCTGAATGAGTGCGGGTCCCCTCGAGGATGAGTGAGCGGGAACCGGGGAGTGGGGGGAGGTGGGGAGGGCGGAGTGACCTAACCTGGGGGCTGAGGACGGGACATCTGACAGTGCTCAGGGCTGACTCTGATCCAGTCATGGGAGCTCATCCTGGCAGGACCTGGGTGGGAAGGGACGTACAGGGTGGGGTGGGGTCAACCACAGGCAAGGCAGGCTCTTTGGCCCTGGGCTACCCTTCCGGGCAAGGATACGTATTTTCTTTCTTTCCTTTTGTTTTTTGGGACACTCGGCAGTGCTCAGGGTTACTCCTGGGTCTGCACTCGGGAATCACTCCTGGCGGTGCTCAGGGGACCTATGGGGTCAGCCATGCACCAGGCAAGCGCCAAGTCTTCATGTCAAGGTGCCCACGAAACACAGTGTGCAACAAGGGACTCTGCAGAGGACATCAGGGCCAGCAAACGCTACTTGGAAATCAATCAATTCTGAAAATAACACAAAAAGATGCAAAAGGAGGGTCTGGAGTGAGAGCACAGTGGGGAGGGATTTGCCTTGCTCACGGCTGACCAAGATTCGATCACCAGTCCTGAGCACTGCCAGGAGGAATTCCTGAGTGCCACGTCCGGCGCTGCGGGGCAGAGCCAGGGGAGGGCCGTCAGGGTGAAATCAGCACTCGAGTCACACAGGGTTCGTCATTCACGAGATGGCATGAATGCGTGCGTTTATTCAGAGCATAAGTACAGACTTAAGTATGTTTCCACAGCCCACCCAAAAGAAGGAAAGGGGATGGGACGTGGGAAAGTGGATGGGACAATGAGCAGAGCCATGCACTGTTGGTCAGCCACCTGGTGACCCTTTCGGCATAATGCTATTGGTCAGAACGACCTGCTTTGATATAGCTTTGACATAACTGCAAAGATTGTGCTGTTCCTCATACACCATTTACAAATCATTTACGAGTGTGCATTTTCCCCAAACTGAAACCTCCTGTACTGGGAAGTTGCCCAGCTTTGAGAAGGACAAATGGGGAATGAAAAATCAAGCATTCTTTTACTTGGTCAGTAGGCAACACTGAGCATCACTGAGTGTGACCCAAAAAGCCAAAAAAAAAAAAAGAGAGAAAAAAACAGCGCAAAAGAAAATGTGTTTGAGCCTCACTGTCTCCCTGAGACTTGAGCACTCAATGCTGTGTGTGAGCCTAGTAGAGTCTCCGGCCTGAACAAGCCCCCACCCCCCCACCCCCATGCTCCTGTGTTTGGACCCTGACCCTAAATCCTGTGATGGGACCACGTGTGTCCATGACAAAGACGCTAGCAGGCTCACGCCCTGGAACGTCCCTGCTTCACACAGGCGTGGCACACGGGTCCTGGCCTGCTAGCGGCCGGCAGTGATTCGGCAGGAAGCAGAAGTGTGAGCCTGAACGTGGGTCAAGTCCATTCCTTCAGCTTGGAGGGGAGTAATGTACAAGAGGGGGTTTTGAGCACTGCCTCACAAGCAGGAGGTCCTGAATCCAAGCCCCCGGGGTCAACCGTGCACCTGGCACAAAGCCGGCACAAACCCGGCAGCTCTGCTGTCCCAGCACCACGCAGGAAGGGGGGTGACCCCAGGGGGAGGGCCACCGAGAGAGGAGGGGGACACCACAGAAAGGAGGAGTGAACACAGGGCAGGAGTTGAGGACTGCAGGGCCGGGAGCACCGGGCAGAGAGCAGCCCTGGGGAGCAGGAGGACACGCGGGCGCCCTTGTCACTGGCCACTCGAGGCAGTCGCACAAGCCGTGTGCAGACCCACAAGGCTGACAGGACGCTAGGGACGGGGAAATCCCAGCAAGGATTTTTCTTTAAGTTTTGGGCCTTGGGGCCAGAAGTCTAGTACAGCGGGGAGGGAATTTGCCTTGCACACAACTGACCCGGGTTCAATCCCGGCATCCCATAGGGACCCCCGAGCACCTCCAGGAGTAAGTCCTGAGTGCAGAGCCAAGAGTGACCCCGGAGCACGTCCAGGTGTGACCCAAAAACAAAACTACAGCAGAGCAAGCCGAAGGGCACGGAAGCTCTGAGCCACGGAAACACCGAGGTTGGTGCCCACTCGCCCCCGCCCCCCGCCAGGTCAGGCCTGCCTGCGATCAAGGTGCCCGAGTGTCTCCAGACAGGATCTGCCTCAGCGGCTCGGTGCGTCATCTCAGCCTATCACCCAACTCGACTGGGATTGACTCTGGTTATCTCCTTGTCTAGTTATCTTGGGCATCTCAGGGGCCAGCCGCCAATCTCCGTCCTCCCACCTGGCCAGGGCGGGATCAGGTGTCAGCAGCTGGGCCCTGAACACCCCACCTGCCCGTCCAAACACAACGCG